ACAAGAACTACAGAGCTTCCTTCTGTCCACACTGTTGTGTTTCCTGAAACCGTGTTCATTAAGGATATCAATCTATGAGATAGTAAACATACTTAAATCTCCAGACACCAAATTCTTCCAAGGCAAAATCTATAACTTGGGTTTATAGTTCTAAGTCTTCCAATTAGACTGTCAAACATATCACGTAGATCTAGAAAGAGATTGGGTTGCAACATATTAGAATCCCATATCGCAGCGATTTAATCTCCATGGAGAGGCAGAATCATGATCAATTCTCAAGGAATCGGTCTCGTAGAGAAATACCTCTGACAATAATCCGGTGCTTCTCCTTTCTGAAGCTTTGCCCAGTTAAATGTAGCATGTGCACATGGAGTTGGAGACAAAGTTCCCCTATCCAGTTTTTTTTTGTCACAAATTAGCTTAGGCGGCGATTAGGTGTCCACTTAAGGATTCATGATCTTTCAAGCGTCCTGATTTTAATTAAATCGTTGATTCAAATCAGTTTATTGGTGTACAAGTTCAACGTTGGTATTAATCGGTCAAATCGGTTAATTTATTATCTCCAATTTAATAATATATTATCGTTTTGAATAAGTGAAAAATTAATTAGAAAAAGATGCTTGATTACTAAAATGGTAAACTATGATTTATTTAGTGGTAATTTGTTTTGTATAATGGGACTAAGGTATTTTAGTTCTCATAAAGTAGGTGTGGATATATATACAAGTTCGAATACATAACATTTTTAGTATTAAAAACAAGTAAATAATTTACTAACACCTAAACCCTGCCTAAATTACGATTAATCTATTTAGGCGATAGGTCACTACTAAACACATAGCTACTCCTTAACAATTTTTTTAACATTGCAAAAACCTTTTATTTTGCCAATGTTTTTGCAAGTTCCTTAATTTGTAACTTTGCTCAACCCACACATATGAACAACTCAGTTTCAGTGAACACTCTCCCCTCAAAAATCCAATTACTCGATCCACAAGTTCCAAGATCAAGAGCTAGAATACAATTTAAGAACACATATCAAAACCAATTCAAATTAGATACCACAAAATACAAAATTCAAATCTCTCTACATCAAAGAAACATATAGATTACTTTTGTGGTACATGATGTGCAAGATTTTAGAGTGCTTATGTTGTACAAAGACTTATCATATCATATTTACCTTTGGACTGATAGAAGTAAAATGATCTAGATGGCTGATAATATGGATCCTGTGTATATGTTGTGCTTTTTTAACTTTCCGAATAAAGTGATGTTTGTATTTTTTTTTTCTTTATCTATGTGATTTTTAAAAGAATAATTAAAATTAAGGAAATTTGATATAAAAATAATATTTTTCTCTATCTTCGTGAAAGTAAACATTTTGGTGGTTAATCAACTCTTTTTGAGTTTTGAAGTTTTTATACTTTATTTTCCAAATGAATTAGATTATGTATTCTATGTTAGGTAATTTATAAAGAATTTGTCCATCACTACCTCCACCTCCCAATTCACTGCCTGTAAATCCATTAGGATGATTGAGATAGATATTTGTTTTTTTCTCTTTTTAGCGAGATAAGTAAGACCTATATATAGCATCAGTTTCCTAACATTTTACAAATCTAGACTTATCACAAATCTAGGAAAAGTCCATTGACGAACTCAATGCACTCAGAATACTGAAATATAACCAAAATAAGAATCAAAATTAAGATCAAAATCTTAGTATATCTGGAAATTTTGGACTTAAGCGTAAATCCATAATTATTCCACTAAATATCAACAACATCAAACTGGAAATATATTTATATTCAAATCTAACCAAAGATGAATCAAAATTGAGAAGAAAATTTCAACGGCTCTTGGAAGTTTGGAATCCAACGCAAATAAGGGTATTCCACTAACATATCAACATTGAACTCATAATTCGTTATTAATTAATCTGTTAAGATTATGGTTGGATGGGTTCGATTACCCATTTAACATGTTATGTCTTTTTTTTTCCACCAAAATAACATAGCACTATGAAAATTAACTTTTATCCACCCAGTACTTAAGAACATATTTCTTCCAAAAGATTTTGTGTAAATTGACAAACAATTTATCTAATGTTATGAATATTATGTGTATTATAGGGATGCCTAATATTGGCCTATTAGTAAATTCTAGAATATTTTATATTACTTGATCTTCAAGCTAAACTCTAATATTGTATCCTTATATGTATATATCTTATATCTTATGGAATACATCAATAATAGAGAAATAATTTCCTAAATCTTTTTATTCACAACATTTATTGCACCAAAATAAAAAGAACTTTTTAACTGTCCAAAAAAATAGATGAACTAGACCAAGAGTTAAAGCCCTCTTGGCCCAATGGTTGACCAAGGGTTAATTAATGCTTCTACATCAAGAGGTCTGGGGTTCGAATCCCAGATACTGCAATTTATTAACAAATTTGCAGATTAATGGAGGCAAGTGTGCAGGAGATCTCCAGCGATGTACAATTATAGCCGTTCGCCAAGATTCTACGCAAAAAGTAAAGTGTAGCCGTTCGCCAGGATTCTATGTAGAGAGGGAAGTCTCGTCAGGTCATGTATCATTGAAGGTGTCCATTAAGAACATGAAGAAGGAAGTGTTGCCTGTCGTGGATCTAGTAAGGGTCGGAATTGTCAGTTGTAGAATCTTCTATGTAACAGTTCTCATAATTTGCAATTAATAAGTCCATACGTTAAAAAAAAATAGATGAACTAGACTACAATTTGGAAACTTTTAAATCATATACTTTAAACACACTTGGTTTAACCGAATATAGTTTTTTTAAAAAAAATTTTTAATAATATTTTAATCTGAATTATAATTATTTTATTAATTAAATTTGAATAAAGTGCCAAAAACCAATTTTAAAAGGACTAAAATTAAGAGATAAATGTTTCTTGTAAAAATTAAAAAATTAAGGTTAATATATAGAAATATTATACATCAAACTATATATATCTTGTTACCAAGTGTCACACCCGTCTCTCTCAACATTGAGACGGCGTGCTTTCACCTTACTTATCTTTTCCTCTATTCCACTTTTCTAATTCATTATTTCATATTTTTCCGAAAATCTTTTTTTTTTTTAATATTAAAACTCAATAAGTTGTCTTAAAAATAATATCATAATTAGCTGAAAACCATTGCTAGAACGTAAAAAAAAAAAAGTTTAGAAATATACGAAAATAAAGGTAAAGCCAAATAAATCAGAGGTTCCCGAAATACACGACAAGCAAGACAGACTTGCGCGACTACTCACGATTCTCACCCTGATCTCGGAAAAAGGGAAAAAGGGTGCGTAAAGAATTACTCAGTGAGAGGGTCCTTTCCGCCCACTGGAAACACGATGACGACACGATTCTACTCTTAAACAACAAACAACTATCACATAGAAAAAGACACAACATTCATATAGTTTGCATCACTATGCAAAACTATAACACAAAACTCATTCTTGCCATAGCAAGATCTCCACATCAAAACCAGGTTCGATCATCTCCCATGACCTTTGAACTTATTTAGTTCCACTGGACTCGTAAGTCTATTATTGAGCTACAAAACACCCGTCAAGTTATTCATCGTAGACTTATTTTTTTTTCATCCGATTTATAGTTTTTTCAGTCGACTTGTTTATTGATCGTAGACTTATTTCATTCTACATGGACTTATTAGTAAGGTCGATTGTTTGAACTCGAGAATTAAACTTCATTTCGTCGACTAAATTTATTTCAATCGACTTATTTTAAAACATTCAACTTATATTTAGGTTGACTAAATTTTAACATAGTCGACCTTTTAATATGTCGACTTATTTTTCTTGATTATTGATTTTATAGTTTATTCCGTTGACTTGTTTATTCTTGCTAGACTTATTTTATTTTATGTTGATTCATTAATAACTAATAAGGTGTACTTTTTGAACTATCGACTTATATTTTAGTTTTGTCAATTTAATTTTTTTCTCCATCACTTAATTGATTTTAAACATTATAGATTTTTTTGGATTGTTGATTTTTTGGAAATCGAGATAATTGATAATTTAAGTTAAAAATTAAATTTTGGTTATAAAATTATATTCATAATTAGTATGAAAAGATTTAGTGTAATTAAATGATCAGTTATCTTGATTTCAAATTATCAATTAACTTAAGTTAAGATATGTATATACAAATTGTAATTGAAGATATATATATTTTCGAAACTTTTGAATAAATTAGTAGAGATATAAAAATTAGCTTATTTATATTTTCTGATTTTTAATTATTAAAAGGGTAAAAATATAATTTTAAAATCAAAATTAGATATATCTCAAAAATTTTATAATGATGGTGTAGAGTTCAAATTTCTAGTTAGATATAAGATAAAAAGAGGGTATTTTTCAAAGTATAACTCAAAAACATGGTAGTTTTCAAAATGACCATTTCTCTGTTTCATCTAATTTAATTTCATTTACCTAAATTCTCATTCTTATGATAATACTTTTTAAAGATAAAAATCGTATAAAACTATTTATTAGAAAAATAAAAATGTGAAATCATAAACAAAAATTAGACAAAAACAAATATTTAATTCATATCAAACAATATATATGGAGTGAAGACTTATAACTTAAATTTATATAGTTAAAAATTAATATATATACTAAAGCGGAACTTATGTAATTTTAGACAGACAAAGCGGTCGTCCGGTCGACTAAACGTCATTTGAGCGCCTAGCATCTAGACGGACCTAGGCGACCAACTAGACCATTTTATAGAACACTAGTTTTAATGCACGGATTATCGCTTTAGAAACTTTGAAAAGTGTTTTCATATAGATGTCATAATTGGTTACAACACTAGTAATGGCGAGCTTGGATTCTTGCATGCAAAAAAGGTGAGCAAATGGGGGACTTGTGTCACACATTATTTTATGCACTAAATCTAGTGATATATATGTTATTTGATACGTAATCAATATTATTACTTTTTTTTATATATATAATCAATACAATAAAACTATTAAGAGTCTTTCCAGCAATGACACATCACTAAAAATGATACCCAATCAAAACATAACATTGATACAACTCATCTCTCCAGCATGCCACATCAGCTTTCCATGCCACATCATCTATCTATTAAAAAAAATACATCATTTTAAAAAGATAATCAATCAAATTAAAACATATAATACACATACTTTTTTGGGAAATTGTTAAAAATACCCCTTTTGGTGTGCCCATTTTCAAAAATGCTCCTTTTAGATGTCCATTTTCAAAAGTGCCTCTTTTTAAATCTGAAATTTTTATAAAGTTTTATTAGGTTTATAAGGTACTTATGGATTGTAACTACTACTTGAAGACTCGATCCAAATATTTATAAAGTTTTATAAGGTGTTTTTAAAGGTTTTACAAGTTATTTTAAAGGATTTTTAAGGTTTTTCAAAGGTTTTACAAGATATTTCAAAGGTTTTTAAAGGTATTTAAAATGCATTTATAAGGTATTTATAAAGTATTTATAAGATTTTAGATACATAGAAATGTAGTTTGTGTATGTTTTAATAATATTACATACATATTTGGGTAAATCTTATATTTTAAAGAGCATTTTTTATAAGGTTTTAAAAAAGGGGTATTTTTGAAAAGTGACATTGAAAAAGTGGGATTTTTACAAAAGCCCATACTTTTTTTTTAAATAATAATGATACATGGATTTCTAATTTGTTCAAAGAAAAAATAATCAAATTATAAATAAAATGAATACACATTAGCTTATGTAATGTTGACACATTAAAAATTATTATTATTATTTGACGGAATTTATCAAATATCTAAATATAAACTTTATATCTATAGTTATTTTTACATAACATAATTATATTTAAGACGTTTATAAGAAAAAAATTACTATATAACTCAACAATCAACATGTACCGATTCAGTTTACACATAATTTTTTTGATATTTACGTCTACCAAAATTTTGATTTTGTACTACTAGAATTTGTGTTTAATAATTATACTCTTAATTAAGCCACTAATCACTTTTATTACTTTATGTCTTACTAGAAGCTGATATTTCATTTAAAAAGTAAAATCAATCAAATTAAAATAAATATACACATCAGCTTTTATTAACATTAACAAAATTTATTAAATAAAATTTATAAAATATCTTAATTGGACGAATAGTTCATTTTCCTAATTGTAAGGATTTTTAAATCACTAAATAATACAAATATATATATTTAAATAAGCTTGTCTATTCCATTTTTTTGTTTGATTTGGTTCAATATTATTTTTAGATATTTCATTTTTGTAAATTATAGTCTGACTTTATAAACATAATAATGATGTTAACTGAGTATATCAAATAAAAAATAAAAAAAATTAATGATAACAAATATTTGTATTTTTATCTACGTTTATACGGTGTAATTGCGTTATAAAATAATAGTAAAGTAGTGTTTCCTTGATTTTCTGCTAACATCGAGATTTCGGTTGTGTTTTTATCGCAACTCTTCGTTAAAATATTGACGATTACTATTTTATTGACGGTTATTTTTTGGTTGAGTTATTGTAACATTTAAAATATTAGCGGTTAGTTTTTTCGGTTGTGTCTTTTTATCATAATTTTCTGTTAAAATATTGACGGTTATTTTTTTCGGTTGTGTCTTTTTATCGCAACTTTCCGTTAAAATATTGCAGTTATTTTTCTCTGTTGTATCTTTTTATCTCAACTTTCCGTTAAAATATTGACGGTTATTATTCACGGTTAAGTTTTTTTATCGCAACTCTTCGTTAAAATATTGACGGTTATTTTTTTCATTGACGGTTATTTTTCGGTTGTATATTTTTTATCGCAACTTTTCGTTAAAATATTGACGGTTACTTTATACGTTTGTGTCTTTTTATTGTAAATTTCCGTTAAAATATTGACGGTTATTTTTTCTTGGCTGTGTCTTTTTGATCGAAACTCGTCGTTAAAATAACTACGGTTACTTTTTTCGTTGACGATTATTTTTTTGTTGTCTTTTTATCGTAACTTTCCGCTAAAATATTGACAGTTACTTTTTTTGTTTTTGTCTTTCTATCGCAACTTTCCGCTAAAATATTGACGGTTATTTTTTCTCGGTTGTGTCTTTTTGATCGCAACTCTTCGTTAAAATAATTGCGGTTATATTTTTTCGTTGATAGTTCTTTTTTCGGTTGTGTCTTTTTATCGTAACTTTCCGTTAAAAATATTGACGATTACTTTTTTCGGTTATGTCATTCTATCGTAACTTTCCGTTAAAATATTGACGGTTATTTTTTCTCGGTTGTATTTTTTTTTATCGAAAATTTCTGTTAAAATATTGACGGTTATTTTTCTCGGTTGTATCTTTTTATCGCAACTCTTCGTTAAAATATTGACCGTTATTTTTTTTCGGGGATGGTTATTTTTTAGGTTGTGTCTTTTTATCGCAACTTTCCGTTAAAATATTTACTCTAACTTCTTTTCTTTTATGTTTTTTTTATCGGTACTTTGCGTTAAAATATTGACGGTTATTTTTTCTAAATTGTATTTTTTAAAATCGCATCTTTTCGTTGAAATAGTGACGGTTATTTTTTTGAGACAGTTCTATTTTTTCAATTATAGTCATATTTTTTTTCTGTTTACGGAGATGCCGCGGACAAAGGTTGTATCTTTATAGTTGCATCTATTTATTTAAAATTACGTTTTTTCACTATATTTCATTGCATTTTTTCGTCACAAGTTTTTTGTATGAATAATTGTCTATTTAAATGTTCGTGACTTCTGAACTCTAAATAATTGTCTTTCTTTCTAAGTAGTTCCCAAATTTTTGTTCTTTAACATAGATTATTTGTTTCATGATGAATCAAAAAAAAAATCTGTAACATGGCTATAAATTCTTAATTCTATAAACTATTTCTAAACATACATCATTTTAATATTAAAAAAATTCTTCCGATTTTTTATTTGACCAAAGTTTTTTGGAATGATTATAAAAAGAGAGAAGTTTTAATCAACATTAAATATAAAATTCTAATGGAGATACCGACAATTTTGTTCTTAGAATTGGACTGAGTATACAGTAACTTTTTATTTAGCTATTTATATGATAACAATAATGTCTTTTTTTAATCTTAAAGCAATATATATGGGTTGTATAGAACGAAATATTGATTCTGATTTAGCACTATTACAAAGTTCGAATATCAGAAGACATCTCCATGTGACGCTTGTGATTGGGCGCTTTAAATGTGGTAAGCGTCAAATAAACAGTTTCAAATAGTATAGTAATCCAGAAATCATCTTCATTATTAGGAATAAAGCAATAATTTCAATTCGTCACATAATGTTCAAAGAAGAAGTTTTTTTACTCAGTTAATTAATCAATACAAATTTATGAGCACGTGTATATGCTTATTTGTTTGTAATAGATGTAATTTACGTCATCAAATTTTATATCTTCTCGAATATATAATAAAATTAATATTAATTTTATATTTAAAGAACGGTGGACAAACAAATAACACCAATTCTTGGGCGTTCTTAGTCACCCACAAGTCGTGCTGAGTACCGATTTCATCCGAATTTTTGGGTTTTGACCCGCTAGATTTCTCATCTCTATATGATAACTCTTTTTTATGTATATTGTCGCTTAAAATAATTTTACATTTATGAAAGTTGTTTCAAAAGTGTTTTTAATCATAATTCTTCTTTTTTACATTTTTATTCATAAATTGTTTTAACATCTTTGGAAAATATTTACGATATAGCTTTAAAACATAGTTAATTTTATGTAATAATTCAAATTTTTGAATATATTATCATAATAATTAATTTAATACATAAACACAATCAAATATATTTGTTAAAAATGAGTTCTTCCGCGATGTCGCGGGGGTTCATAACCTAGTTATATTAAAACAAAGCCAATTTACAAAAAAATACCCCGTGGCAGAGCGCGGGTTCTTTATCTAGTATTAATTTCCTATATATAGAGACTTGCGAGCCGAACCCACATAGTATTACACATCTAAGATAACAAACAACTTATAGTTTTCCATGGCAGTCTCAGCACATCATCACGTGGTCCTCTTCCCTTACATGTCAAAAGGCCACATCATCCCTCTCCTCCAATTCGGTCGTCTCCTCCTCCGTCACCACCGCAAAGAACCAACCATCTCCTTCACCGTCACCGTCTTCACCACTCCTAAGAACCAACCTTTCATCTCAGACTTCCTCTCGGACGCGCCGGAGATCAAAGTGATTTCTCTCCCTTTCCCGGAAAACATCACCGGAATCCCTCCCGGCGTCGAGAGCACCGACAAGCTCCCTTCCATGTCACTTTACGTCCCCTTCACACGCGCCACGAAGCTTCTCCAACCTTTCTTCGAAGAAACACTCAAGAATCTTCCTCAAGTTTCTTTCATGGTCTCCGATGGATTCCTCTGGTGGACATCAGAATCCGCAGCTAAGTTCAAGATTCCTAGGTTGGTCTTTTACGGTATTAACTCTTACGCCTCTGCCGTCGTCATCTCTACTTTCCAACACAAACTCTTTACCGAACCGGAAATTAAATCTGATACCGAACCGGTCACTGTACCGAACTTTCCATGGATCCATGTTAAGAAGTGTGATCTCGACCATGTTCTTACCGATCCAAAACAATCAGGTCCAGCGCACGAACTATTCGTAGACCAAATGATTTCGACCACCACAAGCCATGGGTTTTTAGTCAATAGTTTCTACGAGCTCGAGTCAGCATTTGTTGATAACAACAATAACCACTCTGGTAGACCAAAGTCGTGGTGTGTTGGGCCACTGTGTTTGACCGATCCTCCTAAATCGAAGAGTGCTAAACCGGCTTGGATTCATTGGTTGGACCGGAAGCGAGAAGAGGGGCGTCCGGTTTTGTACGTGGCGTTTGGAACGCAGGCAGAGATATCGGACAAGCAGCTCAAGGAACTAGCTTTAGGCTTGGAAGATTCCAAGGTACGTACTAGAAATAAAGGTCATAAATAATAAGTAATTATGTGTAGTCCATACCACATGAAATTTATTGAATCGTTCAAGGAGGTTTTCAGACATTAATTAGGTGTTATATTTTAGTTTAAGACATTGTGTCGGCCACGAGAGCTAGGGCGTCCAAACTCTATGTTTAATACTCTTAATCTTTACTTATATTCTTTTTTTTTTTTTTTGGTAACAAACTTATTTATCTTTAGTCTTTACCAACCAATACTTAACATTTTC